TTCGTTGTGAAAGCGAAACTACTTTGTTTGGCCTTCCAAAAATGGACACGACTAGAAATCAGTGGTTAAGTTGTATTTACAACACTGTTCCAGAACAGTTCAACCCAAATATTCAGATGTGTGCAGTAGGGATGGGCGATATCTTATCGTTTGCGATATACCATTAAAAATTTTCCGCACGATAAGAATTCGTCTTCCGATAAATAATAACGATAAAGTCTAGTTGTTGACATATTTCTGTGTGCGACTGTGTGGAGTGACGTGAAGGAAGGCGGACATGAAATTGAGCAGCTCCTACAATCTGGAACAGGTTTGGATAGGGCTGTACAGTGCGACAAAAATGGAAGGCCAAACAAAGTAGTTTCGCTTTCACAACGAAACACAGCGTCACACACGGCGGGCTGAGTGAGTGGAGGCAGGCGGGCTTGAGAACGGTGCGTCCGGCGGGCTTGCGGCAACCACATGTGACGACCCCGGGCTAGACTCGAGTTACGCCTTCTTTCTTTGCGTGAACATTTGCGCGGCGTTAAGCAAATCTTCCCACATCGTGAGGTAGATATGTGGGGGTGTGTTAGAACGAGCCGTTTTAGGTAGGCGTGGCTGACTCTTAACTTTTATAAAGAATATCTCTTTGGTTTTGAGACTTTAGTGTTTGCAACTTTACAGATCTTCTTTATGCACCAAGAGCTTGTAACACTCCAAAGAGAAAGGAAAAATTGAAATCGCATCATATGACCCCTTTAATTCCTGAATGAATCAGCCATTTGAATGAATCAAATGAATGAATGACTCGAATGAATGAATGACTCAAAGACATTTACCGCCACCTGCTGGCAGTTTTAGTTTCTTCTGTAGAGTATCATTTCATTTATTAAAAAAAAATACAAAAACATTAAAGGGATAGTTCACCAAAATAAAAATAATAAATTCGGTCATCATTTATTCACCCTCATGTCTTTTCAAACATGAATGACTTACTTTCTTTTGCACAACATAAAAGAAGGTACTGTTGGAAACAAAGCTGTTTTGATTACCTGTGAAAAAATTACTGAGATGTTTCTCTAATTATATTCTTTTATGTTCCATAGTTTATGTTAGGCCATTGTAGTCTAAACGTTTAGGTGTAATAAATTTTATGTTGAATCATAAAAATATTTCTTTCTACAGCTACTATCTGTAATGTCTACTTGATACTTTCTCATTTAACACAATAATAACTTTAATAATCTTTTGTGGGTATTTTCACAGCCAAATTTAGTTTGCAATTATTAGATTAATTAATCAGTACACACAGCAAATTTCTGGAGTTGAAAACTCAGGAGTTAGGCAAAAAAGAGTGAAAGAGTTAGATTTCTGGAGTTTAGCAGCCCAAGAAGATCAGTGTTGGAGAGGCAAAATATCATCTGGTGAAATTTAGACAGCTCTATCCTATTCCAATTATTGTACATAATGCCTATGTTTAAACAAATTGTTTATAAAGGGACATTTGTGTTGTGTTTCAGTCATGCCAAAGTCTTGATGATCATCTCCTGACCTCTAAATGAAACCCTCAACCATATCTTCTTGCTTCAGGGTCTTCAAAAGCACAGGTTTCCACCTTTTACATTGTCTTGGACAGAAAAGTTTTGCCTTGTCAGTCATGTACATACTTGGGTACTTTTGACTGAGCAAGTCCAATTTCGTTTTCAGTGTGAATGGTCATAATGCTCTGTCCAGCCTGTACACATGTTTGCAGACAACTGTGTACAAAATTTATATAGATACATCTGAAGAAACTCCAAAAGTCAAAGAACTGAGAGCAAGGCTGTTGAACAAGCAATAATTGTCTTATTCAACCAAAATGTTAAGTTGTTTCCTCTGCACTTCATCCTTTGGTTCAGCTTTGAATTTGTTCAGGCACCTCAAACCAATTCATAGAATGTGTCCTGGTATCACAAGTTGTTCCTTGTTTCTTCATCTGATGTATAAGCGTCTTCCTCAGGTTACACAATCCTATACTGCACTACTTTTTTTTTTTATAAACCTGCAAGCTTGATTTTATATAATGCAGCGATGTGTTGTTGGCAATGTTTTATACAAATTTACTAAACATTTCTAGTTGGCACTCTGTTAGCTGGCTGCATGTATTTAATGTAAATGTTTTGCTGTTAGATTTTACAGTATTTTATGACCACAATTATTTTCGAAGTGTATCCATGCATGGAATTTCTAAACCTAATCTATGGATTTGCTCAAATAAAAGCAGTAAGTCAAGAGTATGGCATTCAGTGTAGTCATTTTCACATAAAACATTTGATTGTGTTAAATAAATGTTAACTCTAAGAAGTGTTAAATTAAATATTTTTTAAATGTTGATTTTTAACACTGATAAGGAGTTCATATTATAATTAACTCAATTTTAGAGTTATAATTACTCTCCGTAGGATTAGTATTTTAACTCCAGAAAGAGTTAAATTTTAACTCTGAAACAGTGTTAAAAATTCAACTCCAAGAGCAGAGTTATTTTAACTCTGTGCTGGAGTCTATTTGATGGTCACGCATGTACACTCAGATTGAGTTGATTTTAACTACCAGGGAGTTTATTCCAAAGACCAGAATTTGCTGTGCACCATGTAAATAATTAGTTTAAATATTTTTATCGACTTGCAGCCCTAATTATTATATTCATGTACTATGATATTAACATATTTCAAATAGTACCATGGTACTTCTGTCTTGGTACTTGTTCAAAAACATGGTATTGTCTTGTTTTGCTTTTAATGTGTGACACCTAGCCATGTCAGTGTTTTAGACGTTTGTGACAGTAGTAAAATATATTATTAATATTATTAAAATAATTAAATAAAAATAAGAAAAAACAATTAAATTGTTTATAATATTTACAGCATGCAACTGTTGGTGTAACATTGTCTTTAAAATAATTTATTAAATTATAATTATACATTTATAATTTTATTATATTTTATTTAAATTTTTATTTCAATTAATAAAAATGTTTTTTAAAAAGTAGTTCTAGTTACAGGGTTTTGACTCGATTTGTAGTACAATTACAGGATCAAAACATCCTTAAATCAAGATATGAGTTTATTTGCAAAAACGGATAACTCCGTTTTTAACAATTTTCAAAAATCATGTTTTTTCATTGTGCATTCCAATTAATCTCAATCAAACTGCAGTTGGGTTATTTTGATTAGGTTAACAAATAACTAAAAAACACAGCTAACTAAAACAATAAAACACAGTAAAACATGATAACATAATAAAAAAACATGATTTTTGAATTGTTTTTTGATCTGTTTTTGCAAATAAACTCGTCATATATTTTCTTGAGGTGCAAAGTAAAAATATGGAGTCTTGTTTTCTGACAAACTGAACAAAAAATGCTTAAAACAAGAACAAACATCTGTCTTTTGTTTATTTTTCTTACCCCACTTGCAAATATTTGTTTTAATCATAAACTTGCTTTCTAATCAATTTCTCAGAAAACAATACTTTTTATCTCACAATTTTGCATCTCAAGGTAATGCATATTGATTTATTAATCTTTAGACATTTGCACTGGAAGGCAAGACGTTTTTGCAGCGTGATTAAAAGTTATTTTCATACTCTTTACTGAGTCTTAAAAACATCTTAAATTTGCCTTCATAAAACCTGCAGAAACCTTGTAGTTAACAATAACAGCCCTGTTTTGTGTACATCTCATTTGCTATCATTAAATTGTATTCTGTATTATTGAGGCAATGTAAGCTGTAATGCAATGTAAGCTGGAGACAGATCTGATGGATTTTGTTAGTAGCTGTAGATAGTCGAGATGATCATTTGGACTTTTCCTCCAGCTGTCCCTCAGTAAAACCGGGGAGGTTTGGTGGAGTGCCGTGTTGAAGGGTGAGGCCGAGATCGATGTGAACCAGATCAACCGGGAACGCACTATGGCAACTGTAGATGAAGAGGAGCATGCTGTATTGGACCGCCTGTCGTTTGATTACCACCAAAAACTCCAGGGGAGACCACAGAGCCATGAGATTGTGAGCAAGCAATGGAAATTGTTATTTGCTATATTGCTTCATTACTGCTCTGGAATATAAAAGGAGTTCAGTCCAAGGACACTTGGAATAGCTCACCCAAAAATGAAAACTGCTGAAAATGTGCTAACCCTCAGGCCATCCAAGATGTAGATGAGTTTGTTTGTTCATCAGAAACAGATTTGGAGAAATTTAGCATTACATCACTTGCTCAGCAATGGATCCTCTGCAGTGAATGGGTGCCGTCAGGATGAGAGTCCAAACAGCTGATAAAAACAGCAATGGATGCTCTGCAGTGAATGGGTGCCGTCAGGATGAGAGTCCAAACAGCTGATAAAAACATCACAATAATACACAATGAATCCACACCACTCCAGTCCAGCATTTAATGTCTTGTGAAACAAAAAGCTGCAATTTTGTTAGAAACAAATCCGTCATTAAGATGTTTTTAACTTCATACTGTTGCGTCTAAAATATGAGTCCTCTATCCATAATATTGCTTTCTCCAATGAAAAAATAAAATTGAGAGAAATATGCACAGATCAAGCACCAAGCAAAAACAGTTCAAATATGTAGGTAGATTTTGATGTGAGAGGACAACAGTGGATAGACTTTTTTTTTTACTGGAGGAAGTGTTAATATTAATATGGACTGAAGAAAAGGTTTAAAATTAAAAACATCTTGATGGATTTGTTTCTTACAAACATGCAGCTTTTCACTTCACAATATGTTAATTGATGGACTGGAGTGGTGTGGATTACTTGTGGATTATTGTGATGTTTTTATCAGCTGTTTGGACTCTCATTCTGACGGCACCCATTCACTGCAGAGGATCCAACAACAAGTGATGTAATGCTACATTTCTCCAAATCAGTTCTGATGAAGAAACAAACTCATCTACATCTTTGATGACCTGAGGGGTGAGTACATTTTCAGCAAATTTTCATTTTTGAGTGAACTATTCCTTTAAGAGCTTTGGCACTTGTTTGCATGAGAAACTATCTGGATATTGCATTGAAAGATGTTTGACTTTGTGTTTCAGAAAGTCCACGAGATGCTGAAGAAGGGCTGGGATGCTGAAGGATCTCCATTTAAAGGCCAAGACTTTGACCCCTCCATGTTCAACATCCCACACAGTGCTGTCCAGTTTTGAGGTCGCATGACATGCCAGATGGAAAGTCAGCACTTACTGTAACAAACGTACACACACTGAAGTACAGTGACGGTGTTGGTTTCTTGCGGTGCTATAAAATGTCTGCACTGCACATCTCATGCCAATATAACTGATTCACTGACACTGATAATTGTCTCATGTTTAGTTGCCATGCAAAATGGGCCATTGATCATTTAGAATTTTTAGTGTTTTATGAAATCAGTTGACTGAGGTTTTCTTTGGCCACGTGTGTCTGTGATCTTACATTTGCCAAGTTATTCGGGCTTATTGATTGTTAGTTTTCATACTATTTCAGTGATCTACAATAGCAACAGTGAAATGAAGTTTCATCAGATATGTTAAGGGTTTGCACTGTTTCTTTAAGCAGATTGCTGCTGTTCACATGAGAAAAAAAATTCTTAACCTTCACTTGTTTCCATCATTTGCATCAGATTTTTGTGCCTGAATCTAATAAAACCTTTTGCAAACATTAAATTTGTCTTATTTTTGATTGCTGTCACACTGCATTAGATAACAACGTATTGGCACAAACACACTTTTCAAGCTAAAAATGTCACAAGTTATTAAAATGAGAAAACTCCAAAATGTTGGTGGACTCTACTCTTTAGTTCACCCCACACATTTTCTGTAGGGTTCAGAGGACTGGGACAGACATGGCAGAACTTTTATTTTGTGCTCAGTGACCCATTTTTGTGTTGATTTTGATGTTTGTTTTGGAAGATCCAACCATAGCCCATTATAAGATTTCTAGCACAGGCAGTCAGGTTTTGAGTTTTTTTCATGTGCTGGTATATTGGTATTTGCTAGAGTCCATGACATGTATCTGAGCAAGATGTTCAGGACCTCTGGCAGAAAAATAGGCCCACAACATTAAAGATCCAGCAGCATATTTAACCGTGGGCATGGGGTACTTTTTATCCCTGTGTGCACCAAACTTAATTCTTGTGTGCCAAAAAGCTCTTTTTAGCTTCACTTGACCACAGAACCCAATCCCATTTGATGTACCAGTAGTGTTTGGCAGCTGAATATGCTGGAGTTTGGTTTTGGATGAGAGCAGAGGATTTTTCTTGAAACTCTCCCAAATGACTTGTGGTGATGTAGGTGCTGTTTGATATTTCTTGAGGCTTTCTGACCACAAGACTGAACTAATTTCTACAATTCTTTAGCTGTGAACCCTGTAGAGTCTTTGGCCACTCAAACTCCTCCTCCTTATCTTGTATTAAGACAATATAGACAGGCAGATTTGTAAAATTTCTTGTAGATTAAACCGTCTTAATTATTGCCTGATGGTGTAAATAGGAGTTTTCAACAATTTAGCTAATTTCTTACATCATCTTTCTATTTTGTGAAGTTCAACAATCTTTTGCCGCACATCAGAACTATTTTCTTTGGTTTTACAACTTGTGATTGATGATTAAGGGAATTTGGCCTTTGTGTTACCTCGTATCTATACCTTTCTGTGAAACTGGAAGTCATGGCTGAACAATTTCATGTTTCTAGTCACCTTGGTGTGCTAAAATATGTGAAATATGAGGAGGGATATACTTGAGAGATACTTTACACATAAGAATGTCCAGGGGTGGTAATAATTGTAGCCAACCTTTATTGGAAGAAAACAAAATTGTTTCTTTTAGCTTAGATTTTTGTGAATTTTTTGAATGAAAGAGCAAAAGGATAAACAATGCAGATTTATTTTCGCAGCCTTTTTTTAACCAAGGGTTACTATCTATCTATCTATCTATCTATCTATCTGTTGTCATATGTAGGATATGTATATACACGCACACACACACACACACACACACACACACACATATATATATATATATATATAAAATTACATGTGAAAATGAAAGAAAAGTGTCAGTTCGCGAATTGCATCAGATTGCTTTTTACGCGTTTTTTTTTTCAGCGTTGAGCATTATAACCAATCACATAGATTTCTGTTTAGCTTATGGCCAATCAGGGGCTTTTAGGTCAGCCATTGCTGAAAACAACGAGTGCGCAAATTATGTGTGTGTTTCGTGGGATGACATATTTTAAGTGTTGTATATAGATTTGGTCAGTTAAATTGAACATTATTAATTTCTAAATGTGTTATTAGTTTCATAATGACAGCACCTCTCCATACACCTACTAAAAAGGTGAAAAACGGAGAGATGTTGCACGTGTAAGCTCCGCCGCGCCCTCCAGCGGTGACAGCGCGAGTCTCTCACGCAGCGGAAAACTAGTGCACTGCAGCTGAACAACGCATTCGGTGAGAGGTCGGTAACGCAGTCGAGCCTGCTCGTCGGTGAACCTCTCCCTCACTCGAATCCGTATCCACGTTGAAGTTTTGTCCTCAAAAATCCCGCAAGTCGAAGCGACAGGAGAATAATCGCAGTGCTGGACACACAGCTCGGATATTGCCGCGAACGCTGAGGTCTGAGAAATGGCAACGACAACTTGCACGCGCTTCACCGACGAGTACCAGCTGTATGAAGAACTTGGAAAGTAAGATTTGCTTTCTCTGCTGGTGTTTGTGCGTAACCCGAGTGTCTTGTATTGATATCACACATTTCCTGAATGTAAATGCATATGCAAAAGCCCAAATTAGTTGTCAGGAAACATTAGAAGGAGTTGCGTTTAAATACTCCCACAACTGTTTAACTATATCGAGTCTATGTAGATAAACAGCGATCTGGTGATCATTTTCATAATGTTTGATGCTTTTGAAATGCATTCAGTATCTGTCGGGAATCCTAAAGGCGTGTTGCATTTAAATACTCTGTTATCAGATATGTTAAAATGAATGTTTACATATTTACTATATGCGCATGCATATGTTTTTTGCACGTTTGAACTCGATGCATCTCGTGCAGGATGCACAAAAGAGCTGTCAGGAAACATCAGAGGGAGTTGAATTCAAATACTCCCACTATGTTTATTTTAACTGTCTGTGCTCATAAATATAAGCCGTCAGGGGTTAATTTTGAGGATATTGCATGTTTTGTGGCCCCTCTGGTGCATTTCATGCAGAAAGCTCAGAGGAGCTGTCAGGAAACATTAGAGGGGAGTTGCATTTAAATACACCCACCACTGTGCATATTACAGTGGATATTTATGTGCATACAGTCTCCGATTATAAAAATGAGCATGCAGGTGTTAAATCTGAGGATGTTGCATGCTTTTTATATGCTGTCTGGAAAAATAATGGGGAGTTGCTTTGAAATGCATTAACTAAAGGGCTCTTATAGTGAGTGTATTGAATCAAAGATAAAACATGATCAATCAGGGGTTAATTTAAAGGATATTGCATGTTAATGTAGAGATATTGTGTATCTAGAATGCACAAGGGAGTTGCATTAATATGCATGGGAGTATTTAACATAATCCTGAGAATATTGCATGGTGCATTTCATGCAGAAAGCTCAGGAAGCATTACAGCGACTTACAGTGAGTTTATTTCATATGTCTGATTATAATTATCAGCTGTCAGGGGGTTATTTGGAGGTTGTGTTCAGTGTGATACATTTGAGAGTATAATCAGGCCAAAATGTCATTTTATCTCTAAACTCTTTGAAAAAAGGTACAAAGCTGTCGCTGGGGCGGGATCCTATAGGTACATTTTTGTACATTATTTACCCTTAAATGCTACATATTAGTATCTTAAAGTACACATTATTACTTTAAAATTACATAGTAGTATCTAAAGTGTACATATTAATACATTTTGACAGTTTTGTACCCTTTTTCTGAGAGTGTATTTGAAGGGTTTATACAGTGTATCAAGAGTTCTATAATAATGAACGTTACAAGGTATCATAAACTCTGGTGAAGCAGTGAAGGGTCGCTACATTGTGTTGTTCTGTCCTGTGACATTTGGAGCTGTGAGTGCTGCCCTGGCGGCTGTTTGCTGTCTATAATCTGACTGTGTGTGTGTGTGTGTGTGTGTGTGTGTGTGTGTGTGTGTGTGTGTGGCATGCCAGCGGCCTGACGTTAGGAAATTATTTTACTCTCTCAGCCCCCCCTACTTCTCCTCCAGTCAGTCAGTATTGCGTTTCTTTTGCACCTTTTTTCTCCCGAATTTTTAAACAGGCCCTGTGTGTATCACCCACAATCATATAAACACACAGATAGTAGACAGACTTCTCTCATAAGCTGTTTCATAGTTTCATTACTTTTTAAACTTCTCGTTTTTATAAATACTCTGTGGGTTTCATTTTCAGTTCATCTCAACGTAGTGTATATTCCCGCTCACAGAGGAGAAATAGAGATTTTTTAAAATCTTTTTAAACGTTTTGTATTTGTGATGTTTCAGCAGATCTTCACCATACTGAACTGAATATTTGACCACATCCTCAGTTTGTGGTGGAGACATGCATTTTAGCCTTTTCTTAACAGCTTTAACAGCTTTTTTTAGATAACTGTACACATCATGCATACTGTAAGTAAATAGACATAAAATATAAATATATATTCATTTGTAATGTTATATAGAAATATTTGTTATAAATATAAATTATGAAATGTTATCTATCTATCTATCTATGTTTGGGTGTAGTGTATGAAAAAAAAAATGACCTCAAACTTTTAAGAAATATTTATTGATCACCAGATCAGCATATTAAAATGATTAGTCCGGCTGCTTTGCCATCACAGGAATAAATTATATTTTGAAATATATTTAAACAGAAAACAGTTATTTTAAATTGTAATAATATTTCACATTAATACTGTTTTTAACGGGATTTTTTTATCACATAAATAAATGCAGCCTTGGTTATTATTATATTATGAATTCAATAACATTTCATGGTTTAATTTAGTTATAGGATTATGACTTGTTAGAACAATGTTGTTGTTGTTGGGTTTTTGGGTTTGTGAGTGTGTTTTCTGCTGCTACTAAACACCTCAGCAGCCCGCAGCTCGGCGGTTCGGTTTTCCTGACAGGCCGTCGGCAGTAAATCAGCTCAATGTCTCCGCTGAGACGCTCAGGCTGTTTCCAGCACTTATGAAGCCACACGTTTGCTAACAGACAGACGGATCTCCGGCCTCCACCCGGACTCATGGACCTTCTGCTTTATTAGTCCAGAAGTTTCTTCTTCTTCATTCTTCTTGAATGTGTTGTTTCCCTCACACTGGCAAGCAATAATTGATTTCATTAACTATAATGCATGATATTAGTGGTTGACTGAGTTTATTGGCTGATATTTGGCATTTTTTTAATTATCGGCATTGGCTGAAAAGTTTTTATTTTTTGATCGATAAATGTCACAAGTGGGACTTCTATTGTAACAGCTCTGTGATCTTTTACTTTAGTAAATACCAAAAGGATTATTATTAGTAAATATTATGCTAAATCAATTTAATCGCAGCAGTTGTTATGCTTGTGTTATTTACGATCTTTAAATTAAACAATGCAATTTCATATATATTGGCTTCATGTCAGCCATCATAAAACATATATTGTCACCCACTACATTATACATGTTAATGTGTTCATATGCTGACCTTACTGCAATCTGCAATAATGGCACCATGGTACAGTAATGATATCAGATGGTAATACTATGGTACTTCATTACCATATGCAAATATCATTGTATTGAATTATATGCAGTATATATATATATCTAGGCCAATATTTGATGTTTAATTTTGCATTCACAAAGTGTTAATCTTTAAAACACGAATAATTTAATAGTTGAAAGGTGGGGTAAGCGATTTTTCAAAAACGCTTTAGAGAACTGATTCTGACGGGCCGAATAGCAAAACAAACTTGTAGCCAATCAGCAGTAAGGGGCATGTCTACTCATGATGTGGAGGAGAGAGCGTTCAGTGCACAGGACGGACATTAGCCGAGCGACAGAAAGATAGAGATGGCGGATAAAAAAAACAAAAGAGGAAAACTAAGGCAAGAAGTAGGTCCCGTGTAAATATCGAATCAGCTTTCCAGCGCTGGAGAGAACTCAAGGAGCGGAAGGCCTGCGATCGGACGCCGAGGTTGCTTTGTTTCTTCTCGATAGGTGAGTAACACCGTGTCTGCGCCGCAACAGCTAAAGTCTGTTTAGGGGGCGTGTTTGTTTTGGTGATTTCAAATGTCAACATTGGCTACCAGAAATCGCTTACCCCACCTTTAATAGCTGTGAAATGTTAAATATTAAAATATGTAAATATTAAAATGTATATAATTTTTTTTTATAATATAGTTTAATGTTTTGATGCCTAAATTAACTTTTAGCATTTAAAGTTATTGAGTTTAGTTTTTAGTGTTTTATTTTTAATTTTATGGAATTTTAATATAAGTTTTTTAACAAGTTATCGGCAGTGTTACACTTGCGATTTGGATACTATTATAGATTGTATTAATATTTTGAATCAGTTTTTATTTTTATTTCTTCTGTTTTCATTTAAATTTTAATTAAAGTTTTAGTAATTTTGTTGTGTGTTTTGATCATTTTGTGTGTTTTTTTTTTGCCTATATGTCTGTATAGTTTCTATTGATTTTTCATTGATCAGTTTTACACTCGACAGTTTTACACTCTCTATAATTTTTATTCATTTTTATTTCATTTTCAGTTATTTTAGTACATCAAGTTAGAATGAGTACTACATTTTAAACTAAACTAAAATTCAGTATTTAATTAAAATGAGAAATGGTGCCTTGGCAACTGGCTAAAATCATTTATATATATATATACACTGAACAAAATTATAAACGCAAAACTTTTGTTTTTGCCCCCATTTTCATGAGCTGAACTCAAATATCTAGGACTTTTTCTATGTACACAAAAGGCCTATTTCTCTCAAATATTGTTCACAAATCTGTCTAAATCTGTGTTAGTGAGCACTTCTCCTTTGCCGAGATAATCCATCCACCTCACAGGTGTGGCATATCAAGATGCTGATTAGACAGCATGATTATTGCACAGGTGTGCCTTAGGCTGGCCACAATAAAAGGCCACTCTAAAATGTGCAGTTTTACTGTATTGGGGGGTCCGAAAACCAGTCAGTATCTGGTGTGACCACCATTTGCCTCACGCAGTGCAACACATCTCCTTCGCATAGCGTTGATCAGGTTGTTGATTGTGGCCTGTGGAATGTTGGTCCACTCCTCTTCAATGGCTGTGCGATGTTGCTGGATAATTGGCAGGAACTGGAACACTGGCAAAAACAAAAGTGTTGCATTTATAATTTTGTTCAGTGTATATAATTTTTTTTTTCCCAAGCTCCAGATTTTTTTTGTTTTAATTTTAATTTTGTTTTTTGTTAACTGTATTGAACCATGTTATCGGTCAGAACATTAAATGATTAGCTATAAGCTTTTTGGCATTAGCGAGAATTTTAACATTCATTACTAATTTACATGGTAATCCTTGTCATGTTGAAAATGTCCTAAAATGTAGCACTATCATGTTACCGTATCCAAAAAGTCACTTTTTGAAAGCGTATGGTTGACCTTTAGACCTCTTGTGTGATGTTTTGAATGATGATCCGCAACTAATGATGCTCAAGATCTTCCAGGCTTAATTTCTTCTAGTCCACTAGCCAAGCGAATGGTGCGCAGGTGATTTGCCTGAGGTCACGAGGGGGCATATGGTCTGTTTTTATCACATGTTATCATCACATGGGTGTTTCCAAGGGCATTTGAGCCTGTCGGTGAGGGGTGGGAAGTCACGGATCCTTGAGACATGTGTAACTGTAACAAGGTGTGCTAAATTTAGCCAGTAAGAAATGACATCAGACCATTATCATGACTGTCTCAAGTGATTTTCATAACGCAGGTCTTTCTGAAAATAGACTCGAGGCTTTTGAAAGACAGAGTGTGTACTACATTTTGCTCCCATGTGAATATCATGAATATTTGCGCATCAAACACCTGCGTGTTGTTTTCATTTCTGATTTGGCTCTGCTGATGCTTTTGCTAAAGAGGTAGATGTGCATAACAGTTGTTCTTCTTAACAGTTCACCCAAAAATAAAACATTTGCTTGCATGGAACACAAATAGAGAACACAAGTGTCCCTTTAAGCCATTTTTTAACTGATTTTTTTGGGTTTCACATCAAGTTCAATGGTGTATTTTCTTCTCTGTCTGTTTCTTCAGGGGGGCCTTCTCAGTGGTGCGACGTTGTGTCAAGCTGTGCACGGGCCAAGAATATGCTGCCAAAATCATCAACACCAAAAAGCTCTCTGCAAGAGGTAAATCATGACTGCTGGAAAATGTTTTTGGGCAGGGAAAAGGGGGTTGGTTTGAACTTTAAGATAGATGATATGGCTAAAAAATCCTGTGGATATTTTCAGGTCTTTTAAGGATATTTGATACATACCTTAATATCAATGTATAGTGGACTGAAATGGCTTGAAATAATGGGTTTGTTTCAAGCAAACAGCTTGAAATTAATTAAATGATATACTTTGCTTACATAAAATTTGCATAATTTTTGGAGTTAAATTTTTACCGTTCAGAACTTTGGGGTTGGTAAGATTTTTAAAGTTTTGAAAGATTGTCCCCAAGGCTGCATTTATTTGATCAACAATACAGTAAACAATAACAGTAATGTTATTAATTATCATTACAATAATAACATAACATTTCTATTTGAATATCTGTTAAAATGTAATTTATTCCTGTGATGCAAAGCTGAATTTTCAGCATCATTACTCCAGTCTTCAGTGTCACATGATCCTTCAGAAATCATTCTAATATGCTGATTTGCTGCTCAAGAAACATACCTGATTAGTATCAATGTTGAAAACAGTTGTGCTGCTTCATATTTTTGTGCAAACCATGATACTTTTTCAGTGAATAGAATGGCATTTGATTGAAATAAAAATCTTTTGTAACATCATAAATGCTACTTTTGATCAATTTAATGCATCCTTGCTGAATAAAAGTATTAATTTCTTTCAAAAAAATCTTTCTGAGCCCAAACTTTTGAAAGGTTGTGTATTCTAAAAAAGTATAAATCTAAGAATAACCACAGTAAACCTTGCTTTTGCCAATAATTCTGATGTAATCTCTCACAATCTTCATCTGTAAATTCAGTTATAATTTGGAGCAAAATAATAGTGATTATCAGTTTAACCATTATGCAGCATGACTAAAATGTTATTTGACTAAAACTAGACTAAAATTCCCAGACTTTTAGTCAACTAAAACTTGGACAAGACAGGTTGACTTAAAAACTAAAAAGGACATTTGACACAAGACTAGGACTTAAAAAACAAACAAACAAACAAACAGCTGACTAAATTGAAAATTCTGTAAAGAACAGCATTTATTTGAAATAGAAATCTTTGGTAACATTATAAATGTCTTTACTGCTACTTTTGATCAATTTAATGCATCCTTGCTGAATAAAAGTATTAATTTCTTTCAAAAAAATCTTTCTGAGCCCAAACTTTTGAAAGGTTGTGTATTCTAAAAAAGTATAAATCTAAGAATAACCACAGTAAACCTTGCTTTTGCCAATAATTCTGATGTAATCTCTCACAATCTTCATCTGTAAATTCAGTTATAATTTGGAGCAAAATAATAGTGATTATCAGTTTAACCATTATGCAGCATGACTAAAATGTTATTTGACTAAAACTAGACTAAAATTCCCAGACTTTTAGTCAACTAAAACTTGGACAAGACAGGTTGACTTAAAAACTAAAAAGGACATTTGACACAAGACTAGGACTTAAAAAACAAACAAACAAACAAACAGCTGACTAAATTGAAAATTCTGTCATTTACTCACCCTCAAGTTGATCCAAACCTGTAGGAGCTTCTTTCTTCTGCTGAGCACAAAAGAAGATATTTTGAAGAACGTTGGTAACCAAACAGTTTCTGGTAGCTATACTATTGAAGTCAATGGGGACCATCAATTGTTTGGTTACCAACATTCTTTAAAATTTCTTCTTTTGTGTCTAACCCAGGGCTGTCCACACTCGGTCCTGGAGGGCCGGTGTCCTGAAGAGTTTAGCTCCAACCCTAATTAAACACACCTGAACCAGCTAATCAAGCTCTTACTAGGCATAGAAACTTCCAGTCAGGTGTGTTGAGGCAAGTTGGAGCTAAACTCTGCAGGACACCGGCCCTCCAGGACCGAGTTTGGACAGCCCTGGTCTAACCCTTTACCACAAGTTCTAGCAGACCCCAAAAATGAAATGATGAACTTGTAAATAAGCGTAATATGGCCACTTAGGACAGTCATATTCCTCTGTGCCCCTTTTCTTGTCATTTTCGGCATCTTCCATTGGATCACTGATTGTTATGATAACATGAATACAGCATGGTTAATTGTGTCGCCGCCGACACGTTCGGTTTTAAAGGGTTAAATGATTAGGTGAATATAAAGATATCAGCCTAGTTGACATGTTTGTTGTGGTGCTCTGATATTTTGGGTGAACGTGTCTCTGTGTGTGTGTGTTTTGGGAAGCATTGGCCACATACGGGATAATCATACGGTCAGCAGGTCATCACAGGCAGCCTGACCATTTGGCACGCCGCTGACAGCGTGTCTGTGTGGCCAACATGCCAAGAGCCCGGGACTCGTGTACATGCTCGAATACACAACCACGGCTTCAAGTACTCCAACACCAGGGGCTTTTGTTTCTGAAACAAAGCCATGCCACGCATCAAGTGGAAAACGTTCAGATTGTCGCTTTGTCATTGCTGCTGTTGTTTTGACTCAGCTCGTGACCACATCTGACACCTCGCTGTCCCCTGACGCCCATGCGACGATCCGCTTTCACTCAGACATCAGGGTGCATTCATATTATCGCGGTTTTGCTACAGAAACAGGATTGGGTGTCATGTGAAGGCAGTGTCAGCGCTGAAAGAGTTAATGAGGCTGGTGGAAACTGAGTGCAGCCAATGACGCCGCAGCCCCTTCCTCAACAAGGATTGTCTTATTACACAACAAGAGCTGCTTTGGGGAAGTTGTGATTTGCTGTGAATACTTCATGTGCATAATCGCAGCACCTGCAATGCAGTATGGAGTTGACCTGGATTTACCTGAAGTGTCACACACACATGCAGCACTAGGTTGATCGGGGCAATCGACTCAGTGATTGTTTCCAATTATAATGGCTTAGTGCTGGGATAAGTAGCAATAAAAGTGATTGTTGGAGCTGTAATTGTTTCTGACAGGCCTATTATCCTGCCATGCAAACGTGAGCACAGTTGCATTTGATTGCATATGGTTGGTCTCAAATAAGTGGCTTCCTCTGTGTGAAACGCCAATTATCTTTAGTTTGCCTCCTGGCAAATTTGTTTGCATCAAAATTGCCCGTGTTTAGTTATTCTGGACATTTTGTTGGAATATGTTCTTTACGTATGATGAATTAATTGTCACTTTGGATAAAAGCTTCTGCTAAATGTACAATGAATCAATTCCCAATAGATAAACTTAAGTCCTGGCCTGTATTTTTTCTGGTTGAATATCCCAATTTAGGACAGCACTATTCGAAGTGCTAATCGAAGTAAATTTTGGCTGCACAATATGGGCAAAGATTTTTGTGATTTAAATATCAATGACTATCAGATAATGTTAATAATAGTAAACAGTCATGATATAGTTTTTAAGTGCCATTTTACTCCCTCTGTATGACTTTTAGAAGTTGAGTGGGTTTTTGATATTGGTTTTATTGGATTTGATTTTGGTTATTTTTGCTTAGAAATATTTGTTTTCTGACAAAATAAAAGCTTGATAGTTTAAAGGGTTAGTTCACCCAAAAATGAAAATTAGCCATCCTAGGTGTATATGACTTCCTTCTTTCAGACGAATCCAGTCGGAGTTATATTAAAAATTGTCTTTGATCTTTCAAGCTGTTTAATGCCACTCAGCGGGTGTTGCATGCATCAGTCCAAAAGAAGTTAAATAAAAAGCGCCCATCCATTAAAAAAAAGTGTCTCACACGGCTCCGGGGGGTGAACAAAGACCTCCTGTAGCGAATCGATGCGTTTTTGTAAGAAAAATATCCATATTCAAAACGTAATCGTCACTTTAATGTAGCTTGCACCAACATTTGTACATGGAAGCAGCTCTGGGCTGATGACGTATGAGGTCAGCGTTTTTTAATGGATGGGCGCTTTTTATTTAACTTCTTTTGGACTGATGCATGCAACACCCATGAAGTGGCATTAAACAGCTTGAAAGATCAAAGACAATTTTTAATATAACTCCGACTGGATTCATCTGAAAGAAGAAAGTCATATGATGGCTCTGGGGTGAGTAAAACACAGCCTAATTTTCATTTTTGGGTGAACTAACCCTTTAACATTAGAAATTAGAAGAAATTAAGACAGTCATAAAAGTTAGTTTTGTAATTTTTTTAGTTGGTTTTGAAAAACATTTTTTTCATAAGTATTTGATTTTTATTTTACGGTAAAGTATTACAATAGTAACAATTTAAATTTTTCTGCAGAAATAAAAGCTTGAAGAGAACAATCAACGTTAGTATTATAATTTTACAGTTTTGCTGCAAAATAAAATATTTTTTTTCATAAAACATGTTTATTATACAGTCAAATATTACAAAAAGTAATATTTCTTATTTTTCTGACAAAATAAAATAGTATAATGTTTGAAAATGAATAAAATAAGACTGCGATGAAATTTTAGTACTGTAAGTTTACAGTTTTACTGTAAAATCTATTTTTTATTTTACAATAGTTTAATTTTTCAATATTTTCAATAATTTAATAATAATTTATAGATAAAGTGTTACATAATGTCATTTTTTTTGGCAAAATTGTGCAATCACTGCAAAATTGTGCAAAACTGCAATCACAATTTTTATCTTTGGGAAAAAAACGCAGTTCGTTTTTTCCCACAAGTTGTGCAACCCTTGTGAAATGTAAGTTGATATACATATTGATGGGATTCAGGAGGTAATTTACAAATGTCTTAGAGGTACAGTAAAACATCTGTATAAAAAAAAAAAAAGGGGAGGGTTGCAGTGAGGCCACAATGATGCTCTCTAAACTGACTGTACCTTCAATTTAAATGATATCATGCATTATTTTATGTACTTATATACTAGCACTCAAAATGTTAATTTAATTTATAATGTTATAAAAGATTTCCATTTCAGACAAATGCTGTTCTTTTGAACTTTGTTCATTAAAAAATCCTGAAAACAAATAATTATTACAGTTTCCACAAAAATATGATGCAGCACAACATCGGTAATAGTAATAAATGTTT